AGAGATTCATTGATTGGCTGCCTCCTATCTCATCTCCCATTGCAGGAGGATTGAACCCACAAATTGGGCATGCGTCCTGACCTGAAACTGAACCATGACCTCTTGTTTCATAAGTCGACACTCGACCACTGAGCCATGCAGGCCAGGCTTAAGGGAGCTTTTACTGCGATCAGTTGATTTAGCCATGGGAGCAGGGTGTAGGACAAGAAAAAGTAGCCTGTTATCTATTTTTCTGGGAGCATGATATATATACAAAATTTGACACTGTACCAATTTCCCAGCATGATACTTGAAGGAAAAGGTCACTGCAAAGTTAGGTCCAAAGAAAATTAATCTCAACACCCTTATCCTTTAACTTGAATGTCTCAATTAAGCTTATACAAACAAATTAGGTATTGGCAAATTCTATAACAAATCAATATCTAAATAGCCTTACTTCCCATTCTTATACAAATGAAAAGAAATAATAATAATAATAATAATAATATAATAATAAATGGTATATTTTATGCAGTATTTTATAACTCAAGGACATATCTTTTTTCCAAATCATAAATAAGTAATTTGCCTTCTGTCTACCTTTTTTTGTTGTTATTGGGTTTATATGTGCCCTAATTCTTCATGAGAATGCCAACTGGAGTTAGGGAATAAGAGAACTTTTTTACTCTGTGTATGTGGTATTCGGTTCTACAAAGGGTAAAGCTTTCATCTTTTAATCCTGTATCCACTTAACTACACTATAGAAGATTTATTTTGACCCCCTCTTGTTTCATAAGGAGCTCAAAAGTCTGTAGCAAATTTTGACACTTTTGTTATAATGTTTTTTTGACACCTCCCCTCTTCCACAACTAACTTCTTTCTCTTTCTCTTTCTCCCTTTCTCCTTCTCTCTCTCTCTCTCTCTCTCTCTCTCTCTCTCTCTCTCTCTCTCTCTCTCTCTCTCTCTCTCTCTCTCTGCCCCCCTCCCCCTCAGCCTCATTTTCATATGGACACAAAGCTTTGGGATAAAATGATGGTTCATTATAGTAGTACAGAGCTCTTATCTTCATCCTGCAAGAGTCATTTCCTTCCAAAGATTGAAATGCAAATGTGAAAATTAATGATAACTGCATTATCTGATAGCAGAGATAATACCAATTCACTGTCAGAGTAATACACAGTCATTCTACGATTTCCTCCGCTTCTCAAAATATTCTTCTTACTGTCAGACTATATCTATGGTTAACTATGTTTCATAGGTTTCTGTTAATTTACTTCAAATGGCATTTCCCAGATCTTATATCTACCACATTTTCCCAATCAAAAAGGAAACGAAATCAGAACTGTAATCTCCAAGCCCTTCTTTGGATGTGCTAGTAAGGAAGAAGAAAAAAAAATCCATATCATTAGTGTGTGCTTCTACCTCAAGGTGGTCTTGTAGCTACCGTTCCACTTTCTGCAAAACACTCCCACCTTCTTAGTTTAATTTAAGGCACAAAGCAAACTAGTCTGGTCCTTTGAATGCATCCATAATGGTGAACAGCAGCTGAGTAAGGTGACTTATTTATGATTTCTTAAACAATTTTAGTCCAGATGCAACAAGTACATCTATATGATTTTGTTCTAGGCAATTATTCTTTTTTTTTCTAAATATATTTTATTGATTTTTTTACAGAGAGGAGGAGAGAGGGATAGAGAGCTAGAAAAGTCCATGAGAGAGAATCATTGACCGCCTGCCTCTTGCACACCCCCTACTGGGAATGTGCCCGCAACCAAGGTACATGCCCTTGACTGGAATCGAATCTGGGACCTTTCAGTCCACAGGTCGACACTCTATCCACTGAGCCAAACCGGTTTCGGCTATTCTTTCCATTTTAAAGATAAGGAAACTGAGGCCTGGCTGTTTAATATGCCTGAGCTCACAAGGCCCCAAGTATCAATGTGTGAACTCAAGCACTAATTTGCCTCACTCTTTAATTTGTACTTTTTCTTCTGTAGTTTAGGCCATTCCCTACTTTCTAGCTTGACACATTTAATTAGTGCATCAATGACTCAAATGCAACACAGGAGTAATTAAAAGAGGTTAAGGAGAGAAATAGCATCAAAAGAGTATAGACAGCATCATACTACAACTTTGGACTTCTCCCTAGAATCTTTCAAAATTATTAGTACACAATAACCATTTATCCACTTATTAATTGATTAAATGTATAAGAATATCAGTAAACCTGAAATACTGCAAGGGTGATAAAACATGAAACTTGTGAGGGTAATAAAAGAAAAGAAGAGGTATTTAATTAAGCAGAAATGATATAAGAGAAGTATAGGCAAATATAGATGAAAAGGCAAAAGATTGGATAACAAGTACCTATGAATTAGGTTCGTATAATTAAACATTAAAGGATTTTACATCACAGAAATGGTTTTAAATGTAAGATAATTTTTGCAAAGCGATGTTTAGGTCCCACCAAATCCTAAGAGTTAACAAAGGTGTAAGCAGTTACTAAATGCACCTTTTAGTTGAATAACAAACAAAGAAAAAGAAAGTTTTCACTGTAAAGTTGGCATTTGATAAAAATAGAACACTTCAGATAGGAGTTGATTCATTATTGAAATGAGCCATCAGAAAAGGTTGTGGAGCTGTCTTCAATCAAACTCTTCAAAAATAAGATAAATCCTAATCTATCTTAAATGATGTCAGCTCTATGCCTCAAATTCTTTAGATAATTTCCTTGTCTTTTTTTTCTGTCTATTTTTAGAGAAAACCGTCTATCTTACAGTGACTGTCTGAATTGGGTGGGAGGGCTCAACATTAGGAGACCTTGAAGTCACACCTGGCCCATTACCTCATGTCTTAACTAATTTGTGGTTACATTCAAAAGTAGATGCTCAGCATTTATAGAAGTTCACCCCTGTGGAACCACAGATACTACTATTGGGCTTTAAAAAATGCTGAGAATAATTCTAAAAGGTGCTGCTTCAAGACTCAACCATTCCAAAACCATAATAATGATCAGTCAAATTTTATGTGTATACTTCCTACAAAATCCATAATATGATTTTCTACATTTGGTAACTGGGAATACAGGCACAGAGATATTAAGCAAATTGCTAAAAATCACCCAGCAAATTAATGGCAAATCCAGAATCTGAACCTAAATGCTTAGAATCCAGAGCTATATTCTAACATGTTTGGAAATGGTCATTAAAACCTGGATAATGTTATCTCAATACAGTTGGAAAATACCAATAATGTTTTGTGAAGAACAAAAATCTGAGTAAAAATATTGCTGTAATCTCTATGTAATAGCAAAAGTAAAAACAGTATTCTATACTTTCTCCTGATCAAAGGAGAGACATAAATATTCTACCTTAAAAACATAAATACCCAACAGATATTCTTTTGTTATGAATTAACCTCATCAAAAACTTTCAAAGTAATTAAACTTTTTTTTTGCAAAATAGGAGGGTTGTTTTATCAATTTTACTGTATATATTAATTTTTTCTTATATACATACCTGCTTAAAGGCATACATTTTTCTTTAAAGTTTCTACATATTCATATGTGCCACAAAAAAGAACATTTCTCCATTGTCAACTAAAGAAAATTTTCATTAAATCAGATAGATTAAATTTATTTCACTTAAAAGTGAAAAATCATATCCTGAATGAAGTTATGCTTTAACTTACTCCTCAGTATTTTTTATACATTTTTAATCAAAGGCAGTCTTCCCTGAACTGAGAAGAAAGAATTATGCAATAAGGTCAGAATGACAGAAGTCTACATTTTCTTTTAAACTCTTAAACTGTGGTTTTATGGATATATATATCCATAAATATATTACACTAGAGGCCCAATGCAGGAAATTTGTACAAGGGGTTCAACCCTTGCAGCCTAGGCTTTGTCCAGAAGGTCATTCAACAGGACAGCCAGAAAGGTCATTCAGCTGTCTGGTCTAATTAGCATATTATGCTTTTATTATTATAGATTTTCATCCAAAATCATGTGTACCATTATGCTATGGTACATAGAATACAAACATTTATGTGTGTCATGAGTAATATTAGAAATGACATCCTAATAATCAGATATATTGTATCTTCATTTTTGTTTGCATTTTATTTTCCAGCAGCTGGTTTCAGAAAATTACCACCAGAGTTCCTCTCCTCTTCACACACAGCAGAGAGCAAATTGCAAAGTCATGCAAGGCTGAAAATGTGATTGAAATATAGGGATCTTGCTTAATGAAAAATGTTACTGCTTTGAAAACCATGGCTAAAATTACTCCTAAACTCACTTATATCCTTAACTCTATGACTATTGATAAATAGTCTCCATTTATAAATATACCATCAATTTTAAATTATGCTGGCACCAAATACAAAGGTGGGTTTTTTTCACAGCATTTTTATGAACTTAATATACTTATATACAATTATACTGGTGTTTTGGAGTATTTTTATCAGATTTTGTTTTTCTTGAAATTGTAAGATGTCAGGATCTTTAAAATTATTTAATTTTCATTCATGCAAATTAAAATGTTGCCAAAACCCTGACTCTAAGTGATGCATCTGTTGGTATTTTATAAACTTCTAAGTACATATTGAGATTCTATCTATAACTTACAATATGACTACACTGAAAATTTTTCTTTGAAGTATTATTACTGTTTTGAAGCTTTAAAAATATGCCCAGTTTGAATGCAGATTTAGCATAAAGATTTCTGTTCAAAGAAAAAGCAAGTAGAGTTGACTAATTCTTCTATGAGTATGAATGAAAACAAGATGGAAGATTTCAAGCAAAGGTAACCTTTGTTTTTTTATAATTTATCAAAAAGATAAAACTTTCTTTAGATAATGATGTTTATTTAACCTCCCAAGTAACTGGTGTATAAACAAATAACTTTGTTAAGATCAGAGTTGAGGTCATGAAGAGTTTATGACCTAATTAAAATTTGAGAAAACCCAGGGAATTTCTGATAGTAGCAATAGGTGGTTGGATTTTAAATTATCTGTCCTACCTGGTCCATCCCAGTCACCTGTCTGCACTCCAGGCTGCCCCGGCTTCTCTGGCTGTGTGTCCCCATCTGACTCCGCTGTTTCCTGGATGCCTTCTTCATCACCTAGAAACACCACACCCAGAGAGAAAGGGAAATGAGGGTTTAAACTTGACATTGAAATCCTTGTAGAGGGATGTGCTTAGAATACGTCTAATTATTATTTGTTACATAGCTTGTCATTATACTGACAAATGTCCATGATTACTCATTTTGCTATCTATTACAGCCGATAATAAACAAAATCAGCATTATTCATTAATAAATAAAGTTAACTGCTGTAAACAATAAAGAGCATTTCCATAAAATTTTTCATTTGGAGTAATAGTCTATATAAGAAGAAAAAATAAAAAGCAGTGTGTAACTTTTATAATACCCTCAATACAGAAAATCTTAACTCACTTATTTCTGAGTTATAATTTTTATAAAGGCAAGATGCAAAAGACAAAATCAAATATCAAAGAAAAAGTCATATTTATGTTTGGGGTTGAATACAGGTTATCTTAAAGATTTTCTTCCCCCCCCCCCTCCCCAGCTTTAAGTTTGCTAAAACTAGGCCCTCCTTACTTTTTAAAATGGTCTAGAAAAGGCTATAATTAAATGATTAGAATATGTGATGAGCCTGTGACTCAGGCCTCACAATGTAAGGAGCTAGAGAGAGGTATCCTTGTAATAGAGTGAGTACAGCCAATCTGGACAATTACATGCCTTCATTTTCACATAATAAAAGGGAAACATAATACTTTTGGGGCACAAGCACAGACAATACTGTGGTGAAGGCCTGGGGATGGGGGTGGGGGCAGGTGTGCGGGCAATAAGGATTCAATGGGGGGAAAAGGGGACATCTGTAAAACTTTCAACAAAAAGCTAAATTTTAAAAATAAGTATAGTTATGGAAAAGAAGGAAAAACACACTAACAATGCAAGCACCTTTTAAAAGCAAAATAACAATTTAAAAGTAATTTTATTTTAAACCAACAATCAGAGCAGTCCATGAATAATTCCAATGAGGACAATTAAGATACAGAAATGCAGAGCCCGGATGCATAAAATGACGCTGACCAGTGAGGAACGATTATGACTTCTACCTTCAGTGCAGTCAGTGGGAAGCATTGGGTTATTTCAGTGGGGCTGATATGACCATGTGACATAAGTTCAATAATCTATACAATAAAAGCCTAAGCAACCATTATGGTGGAATGACCAGAACAACTGGTCACTATGATGCACACTGACCACCAGGGGGGAGACGTTCAATGCAGGAGCTTCACCCTGGTGGACAGTGCGCTCAGCTAGAAGCCATGCTCACAGCTGGTGAACGCAGTGGTGGTAGCAGCGGGAGCCTCTACTGCCTCCATGGCAGCGCTTAGGAGCAGCGAGCTGAGTGGTAAGGAGTAGCAAGCAGGCAGGCAGTAAGGAGCAAGGGGTCCCAAACTATAAGAGGGCACAGGCCAGGCTGAGGGACACGCCCTAACAGTGCATAATTGTCATGCACCGGGCCTCCAGTTAACATATATTTCTGCGTTTCTATAAACACACTTTTTTGGTCTGGTCTTTGACTTTTCCCTTATTCATTCCATAACAACATTGACTCATGTCTCAGATAACCTTGCCCGAAATTTTTGTGAAACTAGACTATAGTTCACTCTACTTTGAAATATTTTAGTAGGCAAATCACTTATTTGAAAGAAGAAAAAATAATGACAAATATAGTGAGAAACAAGTATCTTTGGAAAAATATATCAGAATCATTATAATAATCACAAACATTAAAACTTGAAAGTTTTCATTTGAATCTGTAAAAGTTCATCTTTATTGAACAGAAGTGATATACACCATTCTTTATTAATTGATTAAAATACAGGCAATCCTCAGGTTACATTGGACTTGACATATATAGTCCTTTCATGGTTATGAAGCCATCTACCATTTATTTAAAAAAAAAAGTTCTGTCATTTCAATGTATGTACATATGTGCTTTATGTTTTTTATTATTTATTTACCACAAGTACATGTCAGGGATTGTTATCTTTTAAAATTTTGTTACTGTTTCACTTCATTCCTGCTGTGTGTGTGCTCCATGAGGGTGATGTAGGTGCTTAAGTAGGTGGGTCCCACTGATGGCAAAATCACATTACATCGCACTTTAGGAATGAATCTCAGACGTAACCGAGGACCTACTGCACTGTGCTAAGCATGAAGAACACGAAACAAAGATTGGCCCTCTTCTCACATAACTTGCAGACTAGGACAGAGACAAATCAATAGATTGCAACCTCACATGGTGAGTGCTTTGATGGGAGAGTCCATGATACATGAGAGGCACACAGGCATGACACCTGACATGGACTTGATGCAGAAGCTTCCTGGAGGAAGGGAGCAAAAACATACCTGACATTTTGGAGGCATGATCTTAGAGGAAGCAACTCTATAGATATAATTCCCCAAGGCTTTATTTTTTTCAGATTAAACATGAATAATCCATTATGAATAAAACATGATAGTAATTTCATTGTTGTGGCAAGAAAATGGCAGCTTAGAGGTGGTTAAACTTAAACCATTTCAAGGATACAAAAGTTGGATCCAGATGAAGTTTCAAGATGCCAAAGAGAAACAGAAAAATATTGCTATCTTATGATGGTTAACTGAGCAAAGTCCTTTCCTTCATTCGATATAGGCTGAATTTAACAAGATTATTCTCATCCACTATCACTAGGAAAAGAAAATGGTAGAATGACTATAAATCTCAGCAGACCTTAAATGCAGAGAAATTTGGTAAATAGCTCAAAATAAAAATACTATAATTCAGCTTATTAAGGGTTTGACTGAACTAGTAATTTCATAAAATAAGTTCATTAAATGTCACTTAACTGTCAAATCAAAACTGTAGAGCTTAGCTATGGTAAATTGTACTGCTATGAACATAGGGGTGCATATATCTTTTTAGATTGGTGTTTCTGGTTTCTTGGGTATATTCCTAGAAGTGGGATCACTGGGTCAAATGGCAACTCCGTTTTTAATTTTTTGAGGAAACTCCATACTGTCCTCCACAGTGGCTGCACCAGTCTGCATACCAGCAATGCACGAGGTTCCTATTTCTCCGAATCCTCTCCAGCACTTGTTGGTTATTGATTTGTTGATGATACTACATTCTGACAGGTGTGAGATGGTACCATACTGTAGGTTTGATTTGCATCTCTCAAATGATTAGTGACTTCAAGCAGGTTTTCATATGTCTCTTGGCCTTCCTATGTCCTCTTTCGAAAAGAATCTATTTAGGTGCGTTGCCCATTCTTTGATTGGGTTGTTTATCTTCCTTTTGTTAAGTTATATGAACAAAAACAGATCCAGAGACAGAGAAGCACCGATCAGACTGTCAAACTTCAGAGAGAAGATAGGGGAGGGTGGGGATAAGTGGTAGAGAGCAACCAAAGGAATTATATGCATGCATATAAGCCTAACCAATGGACACAGACACCAGGGGGGGTGAGCACATGAGTGGGGGAGCAAAGGGGGAGGATAAGGATAAGTAATACTTTAATCAATTAAGAAAAAAATAAATTAAAAAAAAAATCCCGTGGAGCTTAGATTTCAACTTGTGCCAACATCTGGAGCAATGCTTGGTATTGATAATCCTGATTCATGGGATGCTTTACTCCAATTTGTTTCAAAATGCAGCACATACAATTACAACTATTGAAAAGATTGCAAAGTATTTAATGAAGTACTGTGAAAATAGTTGATTGTAAACAATTAGCAGCTCAAAAGAAATTGCATTTATTTAAGCTATTTATGAAACTGGATTTACACACACACACACACACACACACACACACACATACAGACACACATACATAAAAATATCTTTAATAAAAATAAATCCTGAGAGAGAAGACTAGTTTAAAGTTTCCGCCTGATTATTTAATGGTGTTTTCTTAAAGAAAGGATGCAAAAAAAAGGGGGGGGGGGAAGATGACCAAAAACACACGAATATCAAATTAAATTATTTTTTAGTGTAGAAAACAAAATGGGCCATAATTAAATTTATATTCATCTCAATATCTGCTATGTGCCAAACACAGAAATCATAAAAGTGACAGGTGACTAAGACAGAGATCATGTCACGAAGCTCAGAATACACATTAGACCTAAACTCGGCTACCATTTCTTGTGTACCACACAGCACTAGCTAAATACTTTATGACACCACTTCAACAACTTTGCCATATACAAATATCCTTGTATTTCAGGGAGTAAACCAAGAGGCGGAGAAGTGAGGAGGTGCCCAGGCACACTGCTAGGAAGGGGCAGGGCCAAGAATAGATCCTGAGCTAGTCTAAATCCAAGGACCAAATTCAAGGCTTAAGAACATTACAAAGTTTATTAGATTTCAACAAAGAGCAAGATCTGATTTGGATAGTGGTTTTCCTCATAAGTAAGCCTTGTTTCTTCATTATGCTTACATATTAAAATGAGATGTTTAATGGATTTCATCTTTATAAGCATTACTTTACTTGGAACTTAGTAAAACCAACTACACACAAATGATTAATCAATAACCATTGCTCACTGACCAGTGAGGTAATTAGATTTTGGTTTCATTCTTTTTACCATAATCTACTGCAATAGTGTTATATTCATCCATTAATTGCTTTCAGCACACGATTTCTATTTAATAACTAAAATAATGTCACATTTTTTAAGTTTTAAAGCTTTCACCTTCCAAGTTTATCTCAGGAAAATAGCTCTCATTTTCATGGTAATGTTTTTACCTAATTCATTCTTCATCTTCTCACTAATGAAAAATGAAATTAATAAAAAATAATTTAATCGAATATGAAATCTGTGAATTACTTTAGAGAAACACTATTTTCCTTCCCAATATAGGTTGGTTTCTTTCTTATCAGTATACTTATTTGCAGGAAAGTTTACAAACAGAACTTCATTTTGGTATTAGCCCAATTCAAGCTTTTACTCAATTTGAATGGAAATGACAATACTGACCTTTGTTCTTTCTTACTTCTATCCATTTTGGTTTGTAAGTTTGAAATCAACACTCTATAGTA